ACCTGACAGAATATATTGCTCTGGTATGTACTTCTTAAAGACATCCGCTCTGAGAATAAATTTCTAGAAAGGAAAAAAGAACAAGGGAATACAGTAAAAACAACAGCAGAAGGAATTGTACAAAAAATAAAAAACAGTAAGAAACCAAACATTTTTGAAGAGTTTCAATTTGGGTATGTTATGGTTAAATGTAATGCTTGCTCTGCTTGCCCATATTTGAGAGTTCTCGGCACTTTTTGGTTTTAAGGGGTATCAGAGAATATATCACTGACTTAAGTCAAGAGGCATTTTACTGATAGGCACTTAACTAAAATAAAACAAGCAGAAATGCTTAAAGTGCATTCTACAGTAACAGATTTATCTTTCCACATGGCAAATCCTGTAAAAAGCAATATAATATTTACCATTTTTTAAAATGAGGTTTGTAAAAGGTTTTATAACACCCCCCCGATACCTCCTTCACTGGTCAAGATTATACTCTGCTTATTTCCTGTTAGTTTTACTGTTCTCACTTTAGCTTTTGCTACCAGAAATGCTTCAATTAATTTTCTTCATCTGCTTGTTCTGTGTATAGTTGTATGACTTTGTTCTGTGCTGTTACATTTTGGACTGAAACCAGAGGGAAAGGTGAAGGGAAATGTGAGGTGGGGACTAGGGATAGCTATAAAATCAAAGCTATAGTCTCATCTCTAAAAAGATAATGCAGCCTAACATGCCATTTTGCTTAAGGTGTATATAGCAAAAGCAATGTGTCCTGTCTTTGCACTCTGTCTTATCTCTTGCTGTGAGATGTGTTCACTTGCATTTGTATTTATTCACTTGTACGTATAGTTTATTTTTAGAGATGTGTGTCAAATGAAAGTAACCCAATGGAAATAATGTAATTAGGTAACAAATACATTCAGTGCTTGGCCCAGTTGGTTTTTCTTTCAGTTCCATTTAACAACTCTCTGGTATTCTCATGGCCCCTATTTTGCTGATTATTCAAGCAGTTTCTTCTCTATTTGTCTATCATGGACACTCAGTTAATGTACCGAAGGAATATATTTGAACATGATCTGTCTTTATGAGTAATTGTTGGCTGCAACTTGTTACAGCCTACCCGATATTAGGAAAGATTAAACAGCGTAGCTACACATGCATTCTTATATCAGTAAGCCCTGCTGGCGCAGGAGTTGTTTCCACTGGTGAAAATACATGTTTATGTGCATAGCTTGTGTTGGCTGTTTTGGGGTTGGAGGTTTTGTTGTTGTTGTTCTGGCAGGAATAATTATGTCTATGTTAAAGTTTTAGCTGTTATAAAATGACTATAAAAATCAAACTTGTAATTCACACAAAACAGTAGCAAAAAGGGTAGGATGGTCCTCATTAAAGCTGCGTGTTCCACATGGCAGTAAATAGGTAAGAAGTAATTTATTCAGAATGGTTTAGATGTGCTTAATCCTGCCTCCTAGGTAGGAGGTATAGATTAGATGGCCTCTCAAAATCCCTTCCTGCCCTGGGTTTTGCTAGTCATTTAACCTGTAAGTGAGAATTGCTTGAGGTTGCTTATGCTTTGCCTGTGACTTTATTCTTCCAAGACTTGAAATGCTTCCTTTGTTCTGCTTGGGTCATCATGTCTGCTCCCAAGAGGAAGCAGTGATTCTTGCTAGTTTTGCTCCACAATTTAAAATGATCTTCTCCCTTGGATAGATTTATCTTGCAGATTTGTCAATTTTGTATTACATCTTTGATTTCACTACTGTATCAATTTTATATTAAATTTGCAATCTTCCTTGCTGTCCTTATCTTTGCTTTCTGAGCAGAAGCTGTGATGCTTTCTCCTTTTCTTTGTTAGCAGACTTTTCCTTTCTTTTCTTGCTCAAAATTTATTTATTATAGTACCTGAGAGTACCTTTTGTCTGTTTTATTGAGAATACCTTTTGATACAAGTAAGCATGAATCCACCAACCCTGGATATGTGTATCTAGAGATAAACTTTTGAATGGCTCTCTCTTTGTTTAGGACTCAAAGGAGAGTATTCAGAGTCTAATTTAAGCACCTAACTCAGACTGTCCAGCTGACTTTACAGGAGGCCTAATGGGAAAAGACCCTCTGATGCTGCGTCACATCCTTGATAAATGTGTCTCTCACCTTGACTGCACAGGGAACTACCCCCTTGAAACTTAGGGAATTTTAACTTCTTAATTTTAGTATTTACACTGTGTGCCAAGTTAGCTACTGTGAATTTACCTGCCCTTAAAGTATCATTGAAAAATTATTTTCTACTTTTCCATTATCTTTACCATTTCTTTTCCATGACTCTTTTACCTTATAGAAAAGTCAGCATTTTCAAGAGATGCGTGGTCTTGTAGATAAGGTTATTTCTTTTTTAGATTTTTTTTTTCCCCCCACCAGGTTTTACTGCTTTCACCTTATTCTGAAAATATCTAAGCTGTGTGCTGTGAATGTCTTGACTGTGGGTTATGATAGGTATGCCAGATAATTGGCCACCTGTCTTCTGCTGATTACTACTAACACAGTACAGCTGATGAATCAGTTAATGAGTTCAATGCAAAGGCAGCCTGTTACCTTAGTTCACTGTGTAAAACTGTTAAAATCAAGCTGGCTGGCTTGTACTGGACTTGCACTGGAGCAGATGAGGAGGGCTCATGTTGTCTTCCCACTTGGAAGAAATGTTTTCTTAGGAGAGGTAATTTCAGTAACACTTGTCAAAATATTTTTCTTGAGCTAGTTTAGTTTCGCTTGAAAGAGAACAGCCATACAATGTAATGGAGAGATGGGAGGGTAACTGCAATGATCGTGCTACTGCTCCTAGTACCAGCAGTACGGTACTAGTATCATTGAGACCTAGTAACTGATTGTGTGTGTGTCCTGGTCCATTGCAACAGTAAAGTAAAATATTGTTAAGACTAAGGTGTACTGATAGAATAATAAGCAGAATGCATTATTTGCCTTTGCTGCCTTTTTTTGTCAACTCAGTCAGTATTAGCATTTCTAATCTAACCTTCATACCCAGCACCAAATCCTTGTAAAGAGGAATACCATCCAGGCTGCAGGCTTGTAGCTCTTTAAAGACTCTGCAGATGCTTCACCTGGTGCTGAAGACTTTTTTGAGTCTTGTACCTTGTACAGGTTGTTTAGATGTTATTTGTTTTCTAGTATTGTGTAATGAAAGACTTGGATAAAGTGCCTCTGTACAAAAAGTGCAGTTAAAACCACAACAAATATTTCTCCTTTTATTGCTCAGAGTAATTTCAAGTATTTAAGTGCCTCAGTTTGGACCTTCTGTGGTATCTACTACTACTGTAGTAACAGCAATGATATTTAAGTTGACTATGTTGCACTAATTAAAAATAGTAAATTTCTTTTTAGTGACTAATTAAAAATAGTAATTTTTTTTTATAGTGACTTGATAAAAGCTTTACACCTGTTCTGGTTGTCAAAGGTGGAAATGAGATGACTTTTCTGCCAAAATCTTGTTTATCTGCTAGCTGTAGAGAAAGGGACACTCCACTTTTCCATTGTTGTTCATTCATTTTATGATCTGCTGCTTTCACCTTTGTGGATGGTATTAAAACACTGTAAAACAGAGGCTCTGTCTGTAATATAGAGTAAAAGTCACTAGTGATGGAGAAATAATCCTGACAGTAAAAGACTGATTCTATCTGGGAGAAGTGAATGCTGCCTAATGAATCTAATTTCACTGCAATCAAAAAATCATACATGTGGATGTTTGAAAACTCTATTTTCTTTCCATATTTATGCAGTCCTTCCATTTGACAGGTCTGCTCAGTACTGGGGGAGATGTTGGCTGCTTTGCTGTGTGCATGCACTTTGAAAGCCTTCTCCCTTCCTATCTGTTTCGCAGCTGTTCGGACTGGAGGGCGTCTCCAGGCAGAGGGTGAGAACGCGCTTACTGACATCAGGGCTTAGGTTTTCCTTTGATATGTTGCTGGGAGGCCGGTGGGGAGGGAAAGCTGAGGGCCAGATTGGTTTACGTTCTGGCTTCTAGTGATGTTTTAGAAGCTGGTTAGGGAGGTGAAGAGTCGTAACATTGAATATCTGAAACTGAATTAATTAGGCTCTTGGCAGCAGGGTTTGGAAGACGGGGGAACCAAGGCTGCTGTAGTGGTGGATCGGGAAGTGATCTCAGTAAAGCACTGAGGTGCTTGCAGATAAGACGAGTCTGGCATTTTGTATGGTGTCATCTAGCTCAGAGCAAAGCAGAAACATAAGGCTTCCCATAGCCTGATGATAAGAAATCTTCATCTGCACTTAAAAACGTAAAAAGTGGAGTTAGTTTGGTAGAAAGGTGGTGGTTAAATGTATTTGTATAAAGCTCTTGGTGCCTTCAGTTAGGATCCTCATAGGCTCAGTGTAGTCAGCACTGTACAAACGTGTGAATTCCCAGTTGCTTCTAACTTGAAATATAAAAACAGATATCATACAAAAGGTGGTGGTGAGGGGAATAAAACAACAAATACTAACTGAAATTAAAATCTTGTAAATTGCCGAATACTGAACGCTACCAAAAAAGTCAATACTAAGGTTCTGGATAACCTTTCTATTGCTGTCTTGTGCATATACACTGTAATAGTTCTCTGTGTAATCGCCGGGCATTCACAGGATGTTGCTGCCATATTCTAACAGAAATGTGTGAAAAATATTTGGTTACCTTAAGTCTTACTAAATGGTTTCAGTTTTGTCAGGAGACAAAGTTTGAGTCACTGATGTCTGCTAAGCTAATGTAGCTCTCCTGACAAAGGACTGCTTTTTCAGGAGTGTGTACTCATGCCCTAGGGGGCTGAAAACAGACATAAAGCTGGCAGGCAATTCTTCAGAAAATCTCTGTGCTGTCCTTTACTGTCTATCACAATTGGTCCTTGAACTTGGTGAGGTAAGAGAGGAAGTGGAAGAGCTCCCTACTCTGATCTGTTTAGCCTCTCATGAGTTTTGTTCTCTGAATGGCTAATTGTGTTTTGTTTCTTTCTTGCTAGATGGGCTGGTGATCCCATTGGTGGAACTGTCTGCAAAACAGGTTGCATTTCACATTCCATTTGAGGTGGTGGAGAAAGTTTATCCTCCAGTGCCAGAGCAACTGCAGCTTCGGATCGCCTTCTGGAGTTTCCCAGAAAATGAGGAAGATATCAGGTAATGAATACTATTTCTGTTTCATTGACCCTTAAGGAAAAGTTCTGTTCAGTAGAGGACATCGTTGTCCATTTGATGTCCCATATATTTGCTGTTTCTGCTGTTCTAGTGTACATCTTGTAATGCATGGATGGGTTATGGTGGGATATGTTACGATACGGGGTTTTATTGCAGGGTGAGCTGCTCTGCATATGTCCCAGGAAAAGCATGTGCACATGCAGGTTCTGTGTGTAAATGATAAATAAATAACCGCACCCTTTAATTTGCCTGACAGTAACTTGTTTGTAGTTTTTTGTCCTTATAGAGTCATAGAATCATTTAGGTTGGAAAAGACCCTTAAGATCATCGAGTCCAACTGTAAACCTAACACTGCCAAGTCCACCACTGAACCATGTCCCTAAGCGCCATGTCGACATGTATTTTAAATACCTCCAGGGAGGGGGACTCAGCCACTTCCCTGGGCAGCCTGTTCCAATGCTTGATAACCCTTTCAGTGAAGAAATTTTTCCTAATATCCAATCTCAGCCTCCCCTGGGACAACTTGAGGCCATTTTCTCTCATCTCATCACTTGTTACTTGAGAAAAGAGACTGATGCGCACCTTGCTACAACCTCCTTTCAGGTAGTTGTAGAGAGCGATAAGGTCTCCCCTCAGCCTCCTTTTCTTCAGGCTAAACAACCCCAGTTCCCTCAGCCGCTCCTCATAAGACCTGTGCTCTAGACCCTTCACCAGCTTCATTGCTCTTCTTTGGATGCGCTCCAGTGCCTCAGTGTCTGTCTTACGCTAGTCTTGTGCAGTATGCTTTTCAGTTTGAATCTGTTGCTTGAGTCAGAGCTTTAACTGGGCTCACAAATTGCTGGGGAGGGCTAGCTCGGTATGCTGTGCAAGCCTTTTGTTGGTGTAAGTAGGAGAATCAGAATTTGCCAAGTATATCAGTGGTCAGAGTGGATACAGTAAGAGAGATGACTATATTTCTTATATTTCTGTATAAATTGTGTGAGTATGCAGTCAAAAACTCTGTGCTTTTAGATCTCTTACCAAAGTATTTTTGCTGAAGCTTTTATACTATAGGAGGCCTACCCATGTAACTGTGCATTCAGAATTTTGTTGCAAAGTAATGATACTATACTCTTTCAGCAAGAATCTTCCTGAAAGTTCTTAGATGCATTCATCTAATGTTCTGGTATCAGATGGGGGAGGTAATGTCAGAAGTGCCGATGTAATTAGTAAGATCACCTGTGGGGGATAGAGCAAGCCAGCTGGTTATACATGTTCATTATTCTGATGAGCACAGATGTAAAAAAACCTCACATGAGCATGCAGGTAACTCATCTAGAAGTACAAGGAGTTTTTACTGTGGCGTGCTAACATTGGACCTTGAATTGATACTGTACTGTATATAAAAGCTTAATTTTAGGTTATGAATGAATTTGTACTTCAGAGCCTTAGGTTGAAATTCCCAGAAATGCCAGTGTCTATACACAAACCCCCTTAGGAAGAGACTAATGATTTTTATGGTTGAATTGTAATGGAGAAATAGCAGAAAAGAGCTGGACTTCATCTTAAAGATGAAGATAGTAAGGATTTTTCCAAAGCTGTGTCAACAAAGGGTGCAAAAGGATAATAATGTGAAGTTTCTCAAAACCAGACTGATCTTTGCATGTTATATGTATCTCCTGCAGATTGTACTCGTGTTTGGCAAATGGCAGTGCAGATGAGTTCCAGCGAGGGGAGCAGCTGTTCCGAGTGAGGGCTGTCAAAGACCCTCTCCAGATAGGTAAGAACATTGCAGCTCCACATCTCTAGATATTTCAGATTCCCAAAACCATGTCTGCAGTGGGACAGCAGTGGTATGACCATGTCTCAAAACGAGCTTTTCTGGCATCCTAGGCCAAACTCCCTGCCACATGCATTCTTTGTAATGTCTTGAGCTAAATACTATGTTTATTTCAGCCTCAATCAGCTCAGCTGTGAAACTGAGTGAAAAGCCAGAAGTGTTCTGAAAATTAGATCCTTAATCTGTCTCAGTGTTTTGGAAAAAACTGTGTAGAATGCCTTTGTCTCCATAATGCTTAAATTCCTCATTGATAAAGAGAACTTGGTTTTCTAGCGGTCTGATCAAATGAATGCCTTGCCTAAAGTGCATGTATGGCAGAGAGGAAGTTTGCAAGGTTTAATTACTCTTGTAGTAAAAGAGTTGTATTAATAATACAGTTATGTAGTATTTTGGCAGAAGGAAATTCCTGTTGCTGGACAGTTGGTTTTATCACTTCTCCTCACTTATCTTGTTCTTTTTATGTTTTATGGGTATAGAAACTAATCTTAAAGAAAGAATTGGACTCTAGATTTTTCATTAACTCCTTTGAAGTAAAGAAGAATATTGAGTTGGCTTTTCCAGTGACAGATGTTAGACAGGAAGGCATTATGTGAAATAAAGACTTTAGTATGGCAAGGTGGGCCATGTCAGTCCAATGCAGATGTGTTGTTTTTTCTGCAAGTGTAATCTTCAGAATTAGAATATTAATTGGCACGTGGGAACTGAGCCTGGTTGTAATAAGAAAAATTATAATATAAAAAGCTGTATAATATTAAGGAGGAAAGTTCCTGTATTTTCCTGTGATGAGGGATAGAGACTTCTATGGGCCTGTTTAGTTGCTAGTACCATTAATACTTAACTCTCAGTGATCAGTGGAATGAATAAATTTAGGTAAAGGACCCTCAAAAAGGGACTCATAATGTAGAATTTTGGGGAGAATGAAAAGAGGAGGAGATAGTCATTGAGGTACACAAATTGCAAGAGACTGATGAACTGTTATCTGAATATAGGGTAAGGCGTCTGAAAGGATTTTACCTAGTCTGTTGTCTACTGTAATAACAATAGCAGGAATTCTTGGGAATGGAAGTGGAGTACTTCCTCATACATAAGGTATATTGAGTTGTCAGCGAGACCAGATAGTAATTGTGGAACATGAGCGAAATTGAGTTAAATAGGATTAAAGTGACTTTTGAGAGTACTCATAAGCTTCTGATGTCAGGACTGAAATGCTGAGAGAGGCCTCTAAGGCATGTGCTGAACTTCAGGAAGGCAAATGTTTAAGAGAGACAAAATGAGTTAAAATGCAACTGGCTGAAATTCAGTAATTCCTGGGACTTTCACAATGGGAAAGAGCAGAATTATTTAATATACAGTGCTAAAACTGTGGTCAAAACTTGTTTCAGTAATAAATTAAAAAGGCAAGGAGGTGTAAAGCAATGTAAATGAACAAAGGCTGGGAATATTAGTGCAAAACCTGCGCTTGGGGGAGGAGGAGAGGATTAGGGAAAAAGAGGAGGTGGTGAATGATACAGGGGAGGAACTTCTCGAGTGCACATGCAGCAGCTGGGCTTCTTGACAAAGGATTATGTGTGTGGAAGGGAAGGAAGTAACTTTGTTTAAACAGTAATGTTGTTTCCTCCTTAGTAGAGGAACTTTATCTAATGGAGGGATATTTTTTCTTCCATGAGTAGCAGCCCAGAAGCTGGACAGTGCAGGTGGGGTAGATATAATTTGAGTTGGCTACTCCAAATGATTTTAAGGTGTGTGGTTTTAGTTTTGAATTTCATATACTGACAAATGGGAAAAGAAACTCAGGAAGTGAAGAAGTCCTTGAGAGGGGATTTGATTTGGAGGGGGATTGGGCAGTGCATTGTGGTATTGTGATCAATAGGACAAAGCTTGAAATGTGTTTTGTGCTCTTTTAATCCCATTTCCCTTTGCAGTATAAGATTTTTTTTTTTTAAACATAAATGAGTAATCTTAGTCATCTTGTCCACATGCAAATCCATATCCATAATTTCTGAACAATAGCACCTCTTCACCGCATTCCAAAACCCCACTTTTTTACAGTGTTCTACTGTCTATACACAAAGGATTGACTTTTGTAGACCACCTCCTCCACATTCCCTTTGTAGCAGTCTTATACCCGCCTCCTTGCACTGAAGACGTTATTGCTGTTCTCAGATAGGTGTGTTGTAGTTGCTGATTTCAGGCACTTTTTTTCTATCATAGTCTTAATTTCTTTTTAACAAATGAGGAAGGCAGCAGCAGGTTCAGTCTGGGTTCTAACTTTGCGTCTCCTTGAATAGTGTCTCTAAGTGTCCACTTCTTAGAGATTCTCCTGTTCTGGTTTAAAACAAACAAATGTCCAAAATTGTCTTGCTTTTCTTCCTGTCTAAAAGCTTTTTTTCGGCTCTTGTGTTCCCATTTCTGTTAGTCCTGGGAAAGCCAGAGAAAAAGCTCTTAAATTCTGTGCAGGGGTGTGTTTGTTATAAGGGTATCAGAACTCCCAAATATCAGTGAAGAAAGCTTGGAAGCTGTATTGCAAGAATTATTCTTAGCAGGCTGTTCTTAACTCATGGGTCACTTAAACAACTGGAATGAAAAGATTTACTGAGTAGCTTGGGGTATTTCCAATTTGTGCGTTTCCACCTGAAATCATGAGGACTAATAGGACCTCAGAAAAATGAATAAACAGACCTGAAATTTCACAATAAATGAGTTTAATGATAAATATTAAATGCAAAGACATTGATGTAGCTATCCTAAAATTCTGAAAACTGGATTTTAACCAGTGGGAAGCATACATTTCTTTTGGATACTTTTCCTGAAAGTTTAAGGTTCAGGGGTAGAGCAGTGAGAAGGATAGGTTATGGATTGAAAAAGCAGCCACCTCTGTTTTGTAGGACCTAGTGTAGGCAGCAGTTCATTATTTCCAGCTTTTGCATTTGATCAAACCATGTGTCTTAATTGAGTATCAGAGAGGACAGTGTGCTGCTATCCCTTCTTCACTACATAATAAAACCTGCTTCATGGGTGCAGTAGATCACTCCTGGTGCTCTCTGCATAGCAAGTATGTTGTACGGTGCATGTACCTGACATCCTCTGAAGCATTGGTGCTGGCTGCTTGACTTATTTGTCTGTGCATGAGTAGTAAATAAATCTGGTGCTCACAAGAAGTGTAAGATGCACTTTCTGTGTAGAAAGCCTAAGTGCTTTCACAGAAGCACTAACTTTGCTCTGCGCCCACAGTGCATTTAAGAAAAATGGTAGCCAGGGCGCTGAGACTCCTGGCAGAGCAATTCCTCTGGCCTGCAGCTCATTCTTGAGGTCTCCTGGGAGTGGAGCTTGCCAAGAATAAGGTATAGATCTTAGCTTTTTCTGGTGGGCTACATACAGTTGCAGAATGAATGCTGCTGGTACATGCAGACATGTTTTTGTAATGTATTGTTACACATGGAGTAAATAAGCCGTTATCCAGTAGTGGGAGCAGGGGGTGGGTGAGAAGGAAGAACGTTCTTGCTGTCTCCGTGAGGTGGTCAGGTCACTCAGGGGTGCAGTAGATGTGATTCTTGTCTTCACATTTAAGCAGGAAGGTAGGAGCTGTGGTCTGCAGGAGAAGACAGTAGTAGCACTTTGACTGTAACCAAATACAATATGATGACCATTTCTTTAAACAGTAGTGTTGAGCTAAGCACTCCAGAACGGTCCCCCTCGTGGTTGCCTTTTCAGTCCCTGCAGGCTCAGACTTGTGTAAGCTACACAGTGAACTGTATTGTGGTATTTTTCCTGGTAAAAGTAACCATTAATTTAATCCAGAATTTTTTTCCTGGTATGGTTTCCTGTGCCATCCCATGAACAGTTGCTCAGTACAGCAAGACTGGTGGTGCAAAAGAATTGGGCAGAGCTGCTTGAATTGGCAGTGTCAGTGATGGGCATGTTCATCAAGCTGCAGTTCGAGTTGAAGCTTGTGATATGTCATGCTGAAGCCCTTAAATTTTCTTTGTCTCTTTTTATAACTGTTCTTCCCTCTTTGCATTTAGTCAGTTAACTGTCTTCATATAAAAATAAAAATTTCATGGTAGGAGCTTGATAAGAGTGTGTAGCTGTGACCCATTCTTCTCTAACACCTTTCGAATACTTTTTCTCAGTGAAACAGAATTGCTGCAATTTCAATTTGTGAAATGCTTAATTTGCTTTTGTGAAAAATAGGGCATTTTGGCATTAGTCTGAGATGCTTCTAGTATAACAGAAGGACTAGCTGAACTGTTTGGGTTGTATTATCCAAGTGTGGAACATAAATTAGAACTGTAGCTGGTAATAAGCAGTGCAGTAATTTTGTGGTGAATGCCTTCTTTTGTTTTGATTCTGTTCCAATTGCTAAAATGGCTGAAGAATTTGGGTAGCATTATGTGTACTAATCAAAATAATCACCCACATCAGGAAGAGGATTTGAATTCTGGTGAACAGGAGAAATAGAAAGGTTAAGCAAGGTAAGAGCAAGTTTGTATTGGCACGGGGATTATATTTTGAGGAAGAAATAGTGCACATTGCTTTAAAAGCGATTTAGTAGGTCATGTGTGTTCCTGAACACCATAATTATAATAATCTCACAATATCATAATAAAAATTTAGTAGTGTGGATTTATAGTGTACTTCCCTATGCTGATGATGGAGAAACTATTTCAGTCATCTGTCCCAAGCCATATTTTTTCACTTAAGGTAGATTGTTGGACTGAGTTTTGGTTATGGCTTTGATACCCTTGGTGCTTTCTATGCTTCATTAAAACTGAATTTGAGACTAGCAGAAAGGCTCTGAGGCTGATACTCATTGCCGTAGAGGATGATTAACTGGTGATAGGGGCCTTCAAGACAAGTAGAAGATTCATGCTCCTGATGGTCTTTTCCTGCTCATAATATGTGTGCCTCTGGGTAGCCATTATCTGTAGAGGAAGCTGCATTATGAGTACAACTGGTATGCATTGTACATGAGATTACACGAAGCCAAGCCTCATTGAAGTTCTTTGTCATGCTGCCTGAGATGAGATTCATAATTTATTTGTTTGATCGCAGATTAATGGGGCTGGATTCATTCAAGTGTTATTGCTGAAATTTCCCTTTTCCAATGATTTTGGTGTAAGCAAGAGGGTTTTTTTGTTTTCTGAGTACAAGGTTTATAAAAATGGGATATTCGCAAAATTGCAAGGAGGTACATAATTTATGAGGAACGGGTAGCTTCTGAAGCCACAAGGTGAAAGCAAGTGTTCAGGTGTGAGTGCTGCCTTCTTTAGTTCACTGTAAAATTGTGAAAGTTGACTGACTTGGAAATAATTCTGAAGAAGTCAGACCTAACCTGTTCTGCATTGTTGCCAGCATTAATTAACATAGAAATCATGCCTAAAATATGTATAGCCCAGCTTTGACCCTGTGATCAAAAAGCCACACTTTTCAGTGATGGCTTTATCCAGTTCTGCTTTTCTTTGTTAAATATTAATAGAAATAAATACATAAATAAATGAATATATTAAAAGCTAGTATTTTTGAACCTCTTATATAACATGTTATGCCTCTGCTAATATTCTGCTGTAGCTGATTGGGAAGAAACAAGTGCTGGAGACTCTAGATCCCTGTCCGTCCCTGTATGGATGTTGTTGCTAGATATGTTGTTTCCCTGTTTAAATGGCACATACCTAAATTTCTGCACTAGCTGAATCTGTCTCCCAAGCACCAGAAGAGTAACATTGGACTTTTGAATTTTAACAGGTTTCCATCTGAGTGCCACTGTGGTACCCCCACAGATGGTGCCACCCAAAGGTGCATACAACGTGGCGGTGATGTTTGATCGATGCAGGATCACATCGTGCAGCTGTACCTGCGGAGCTGGGGCCAAGTGGTGTGCTCACGTCGTGGCGCTCTGCCTCTTCCGGATACACAATGTAGGCCTTTAAATACAGTTCTGCTCTCCCCTAGGCATCTTCTCTGAGTCTCTTCTCATTACAGTTTTAGGCAACACGCACTCTCTTTAGGGAAATTGTTCTTGGCACTCCTTTTGGTTACAGATTGTGCAAATGTGTGCTCACAGTTGCAGTCTGCAGAGTGAATTGTCTGAGGCTCTAAACTGCAGAATGTCCTTTGATAATGTGCAAATTGCTAAGGGTAGATAGAGTCCTTTTTGGCCCCTTCCTGTTTCTCATTTAAATGCTAGAATTACTCATTCTTTCTTCACTTCTGCAAGGAGTGAAAGGTCACCAGTAGTTAGTCTTTTATTAAAAAAGTCTTTGTAAATATGGGATTTGAAAGCTCTTTCTTCTGGTTGTTTGATCATTCAGAGTGCAGAAGGAAAATAGTTTTGATCACTGGTGGCCTTTATGTTCACCACTTCATTTTAACACATACTGAGGCAGATAAGTGTCATTTGACTTGTAGATTTCAAACAGTCAATTAAGTTTATGTTTTTATTTAACTGCTTGTATTCTGTGTGGCCTTGTATAGAGTGAAAAGTAGGTGTTTCTTATCCCAGCAAACTCCATGTGAAAATGTGTAGAATCAATATGAAATACACAAGTTGAGGGTTCAGTCTTGCATATAGATTAATTTCCTCAGTCTTTGGCAAGCTGAGAAATACATCTTAAAGAAGGATTAAGTTTGGATGATTGAAAGGAACAGAAGATTTTCCGCTGTCTCAAACATTTTATAGCTAACATGCTTATGATCAACTCCAGATTCTTAAATAAATGCTAATAACCTGCTGAAGCTTGTTAATATTTCACAATGGACAATTGTAATAGGCTTAAATTGATACTCTTGTGAAATCAGTGGAATATCAGTATACTTTCTGTACTTGGGACTGGAGAGTTGGCAAAAACATGGGTTCTGCTTTGAATTATTAGTTCCAGTTTTAAAAGGTGGGTATGGAGAGTGAGGGTAGGAAACAAAATTTCACTTATATTATTTACACTCAGAAAGTTTGGACTCTGTGTAAGATAAAAATCATTCTCTTCCCTCCAAGCCTTTCTTCTACCTGAAAAATGATAGTGAAAGGATTTTCGTGCTTGTATATACTGACTGCTGACACTAGCAAGTTACAAGCCAAGGTATATTGCTCTGTGTAGACAAATCAATATCAGAAGCATCTTTATTATCAAACTGCTCTTGCTTGTTTCCAGGTTAACTTTTAGGTAGGTGCCATTTGGGCATTTTTATTCTGTAGACTGAAAAAGGTTAAGAAACTAGTGATGTTTTTTTTTTATCATCCAAGTTGTTCTAAGATATGGAAAGAGACTGATTTTAAGATTGAAGAAAAACCTCTAATGAGATAAATGAGGTGGTTGTGATTCTGTGAAACAGCCCCCCACAGAGCTGGTTGGTTTGCCAGAAGCTTAAAGAATAATGTCCTATTTTAGAGGTTTGTTTGTGAAATCCCTGCCAGTATTTGTGCAATTGCTAGCAACAACAGATCTTAAGCACAGCTGTTAAAGCAGTTTCCTTGAAAAGAAACTCTTAAAAACAGCTTTTATAAAGCCTAGACAGCTTATTTGCATCTTATCTGCAACACACCACATAATTACAGGAAAAAAAATTGTCCATCAAGACCAAGCATGATATGCATCAGCATAGCTACTGTTCATGACACTTCATCTATTCAGTGGACACAGCTTCATTAAGTCTGATCTGTTAATGTCAGTTTATATCGCCTTTTCTTTCTTCAGGCATCTGCGGTATGCTTACGAGCACCTGTTTCTGAGTCCTTGTCTCGGCTGCAAAGAGACCAATTGCAAAAATTTGCTCAGTACCTAATCAGTGAACTTCCACAACAGGTAAATGGGGACAATCGATTGGACTGACTTTTTGTTAAATTCAGTTATCTTTATTCTGGGTCAATTTATATTATGTCTTTTGTTGCAAGATAACCAGTTATGCTATTTGATTGTGAGTTGCTGGGAAGGCTTTCAGTTCTTGCCCTTTTCAGGTTTGCCATTCTATTATTTGACAATTATCTGATGCCAAGTAAAAGATGAGAAGTGTCTTAAAAGGAGAAGGAAGAATGGTGGCTATTCGTATTAGCATGAATATGCGCTTAGCTTGTGGAAGATCAGACACAATAAAATAAATGCGTGGTGGTGAAAAACTTAGGTCAGAACAAATCAGCTTGCTGCTTTTTTGTGTGTTTGGTTAGTTAAGTGGAGAAGACTACCCAGGGGATGTGTTGTATATGCCTTAGGTAAGCACTTTCTAATGCACCCAACTGGCAACCTTTTGACATCCCCAGTGTAGCTTCTTGGTGATTCATAAGAATCCTTTGGGTTATGGAAATTGACAGACATGAAATTTTGTTAGTCAAAGGCAAAATCTGCCCTCTTATTCTTTAAATATCTGTGTTTGTTCAAGGTCAGGTCATTTATATCATCTGCCTAAAATGCTTGCACAAAATCAACAAGAACACCTTAGTGATTGTGAAATGTTTGCTTCAAAAATATAAGGGCTTGGCAACTTTTTTATGCTGCTTCAACCAAAGGAGGTTGAGAAAAACTGACCTGCGTGGGTATCTGTCACGTTTCAGTAGTGCGGGCATAATCTTTTAAGTAGGAGTTTGGTTACTCTCAGCATGTGCCTAAAATTCATATTATGGTGCTGTGCTTGGGACGCTAAGATATTCTATTGCTAAAATGTCCTCTAAATTCCCTACAGAAATACTAATCCTCTTATGAGAGGAAATGGAGGAATCATATAACATGAAAGTGATATAAAAATACTGCTTTTTTGTTGCACCAATAGTATGTGCTTCTTGCTGCATTACATAACAGACAAAGCTTTTCTTCTCTCCTTAAGGACTGGGAGCTTTATGTCACATAGTCTGGTGCTTAATAAAGAAGGGTTTTGAAAGGCTAGCAGTGGTGGTAGTTGTTTCCTGAATGGCATGCGAGTTGTTTGCTTTCAAATAGTCTGTCTCTGCTCCTTTTTGCAGGGTTTATTTCTCCTTAAGTCATGTGTACCAGCTGTGCACCCAGGAACATCTGGATTATTTAATTATTACTATCTTGCCAGATAATCTGGTGGATATTGCCCAACAGAAAAGTTTGGGGTTTATTGGCAGATGTATCTTAACCTGTGTTATGTAATTTCCTTGAAAAAGGGAAGGAACACCCCGAACTTTTCCAACAGTCTCATTCCCAGTCTTCAAGATTTCTGAGTGGAGATACATACTCTTATACCTTGGGGCCCTGTATTTTGACTACATGCTGTAGAATTAGAGTAGGCATGATTCTATTTTATCCTTATTTTCAGCTTGTGAATTACATTATGGTGCAGTAATATAATGCTGAATTACTTTCAAGTGTAAATGGAAGGTGGTCTGTAGGAATGCAGCTAGACAAGATGTTTTGCAAAATCTCTGTAAAAAAGTGTTTGCTGTATCTATGAAAATGTCACTGATTCTGAGCAGCTGGAATTTATTACCCAGTTCTTCTCCCAAAAGCTATTTCCCTTCATGAAGCCAGTACTCCTATTCCAATTAAATATACATGTCTTGGCCAAAATGTCTGAGGGAGAGTCACTGCAAGTCCCTGATACTTCAACCTTAAGGTGTGACATTGCCTAGACCTGTGACTTTTCTGCTTCACAGTGACTTAAAATATGTAGCAGTGGAAAAAGGTAAGAGTAGTGTAATGCTGAGTTTGTTTCTTCAGGTGACTCAAATGCAAAATATCCTTTGGAAGCATTGTTTTTCTTCCGTTTGAGATGGGTCTGTATTATTTGCAAATACAGGTGTACTGAATGTGCCTTGCTTTACAGTAGGTATGATCTTTAACTTCAGCTGTTTTGCGGAGAGAGGTGGGGGAATATCGGATGTTTTGGTGCAAGTCATTTAAATCTTAACTACATGCCTAACTTGTTGTAAACATGCATGCTAATAGCTAAATGGACCTGTGGTTTCAGCCCAGACTTAGTTTGGGAAAAAACACTTTCTACTATGCATTTTTCTTTGAAAAAGAGCACATTAAGGGTGTATCTACTTAGGATTTTGCAGTCAGGTGTGAGCCTTCTCTGCGTATCCTCTGAACTGTCCAGAAGCTATGATTGCATTAGTTTAGTGCTGAAATTGCATTATTTTACTGTTGAGTCTGAGTTAATATATATATGGTCTCTTTGCTAACAGGATGGTAAATACGCTAAAGTCTTCCCAAAAAGTTTTGTGTAGATGTAATTTATAGCTTGTGCCTCTGTTCCCATTAGCTTGCGTTTTAGAGAAATGATTTAGGAACAAGAAATAAAGAACATTCAAAGTGCAGGAAAATGGTGACCTTGACTGCAGTCACTTCTGTTATCTCTCAAAATTAGCTGCAGTATCACTCTCTGTGGGCTCCTGCTCCTCAAGAAATGAGAGGGAGCTAATAACCTGTGATGCTTTTGTTTACTTCTTAGGGTGTGAATATAGGAGGTAAGCCTTGGATATAGGTTTGGTTTGAGAAAGGAGAGGAGAAAGTGTAACAGCTGGTTTGCTATTGCATAATCTTTAGCACCCTCTATAGTCCTTTCTGAAAATATGACTGTGTGTATTTGATACTTCTGAAATTATGAGAGTGCTTCAATCATGAAAATGCAGGCAGATCTTCGGCTGGATATATCAGGATAAGAAATACTGTGTATATTGAAAGTTTGCGTCATGTTTTCAGATTCTTCCAACTGCTCAGCGCTTGCTGGATGAGCTGCTATCCTCTCAGTCTACTGCCATCAACACAGTGTGTGGAGCCCCAGGTAACCTTGATGTATCTTATTTCAGTAATCTGTGTCACAGATAGGAAGGGGATATATTTCCATTGCATTGAGTTTCTGGACTGGTCTGTTACCACGTAGCTGGGATTGCAGGTGGAGGTCAAGGAAAAGGGTTAAATACAGGCACTTGCATGTATATATGGCACAGCAACAGGCACTTGCTGGTGTAATGGATGCCTCAGAGTGTATGCAGAGGAAGGGAGCATCAGGCAAGGCTCCCTTCTTAGGGATTTAGGGATTTAGGCATCTTTCCTAACAAAAGATTTTTCTTTTTAAGTCGGTATTAATTCCTGGAAGGAAATGTTGATTGGAGGGGACCTCTCCAACCTTCTATTTGAAAGAGGACCATTTGCAACACTAGATTGGGTTATCTCTGGTTTGGGCTAGCTTAGCCAAGTCCTGGTTACCAGAGATGTTGCAGAGTATTCCTATTTTAGTGCGGCATTAGCCTTTTGGTCAAGAATTTTTTCCTAATGTCTAATATGAATGCCCTTTTTTATCATCATCTACTACCAAGAAGAGTTTGTCTGCATTGTGGTTGTAATTCCAAGTAGTTGTAGGCTGTTAATGATCGTCCCTCGCCTTCTCCTTTTTAGATGAAATTAGCCCATCTTCCTCAATCTCACATCATTCATAGGTCATGTGCTGTATGCCCCCAACTATCTTGATACCCCTTCACGCTATCCTCTCTGGTTTCTCAGTATTGTTCCTGGTCTGGGGGACCCAAAACTGGATACAATGTTCCAGGTGTAACTTTACCAGTGCCAAGTAGAGGGGGATAAAATAAGTTCCTTAAATCTGCTAGCTGTGCTTTTCTTAATATAGCCCAGTTTGCAGGTTGGTTTTTTTTTTTTGTTTGGTTGGTTGTTCTTTTTGTTTTTGTTTTGTGTTTTCAGTGAAAGTTTGCCATTGGTTTGTGTTCAGCTTGGCATCTACCATAATCCCCAAACCCTATCAGCTACTCAGCCATTTAGTTTTCAATCTATACTGATGCATGGGGTTTTCTGTCCCAGGTACAGAAGTTTACATTTTTCCTCACTGAACTTCATGAGGTTTCTATTGGCACAGTCCTTGAATTTCTCCTGGTCCCACTGGTTGTAGTGCTACCATTCGGCATGCCAGCCATGTATCCCAATTTAGTGTTGTCAGGGGTTAATGTAATGTTATGATCACATTTTGAGATAGTTCGGAATAGCGAATTGTGCAACGGGTGAAATAAACTGAGTAACACTGCCTGTGTGTTCCCTATGATCGCTGTGATTGGGCACACAGAGGAAAATATCTTGAAAGCCTGCAGCCTGTGTATATGTTACTCTTTTGTCAAGATCCCACTGCTGGACCCTCTGCATCAGATCAAAGCACCTGGTACTTAGATGAATCTACTCTGAGTGACAACATAAAGAAAACCCTTCATAAATTCTGTGGACCCTCTCCTGTTGTTTTCAGGTAAACTGTTTCCCATTGAAGGGAAGATGTGATATTCATGTAATCTGTAAGCTCATTCACTGTGTAGCCTGTAACCTTATGTGATGCCATGGACTGAAGGATGCTTAGTTTCATGGTCACTCTACTGGACTGTATTTTTGCATAGCTTGTCCAATGTTATTTCATTAGAGCACACTGTATTTGCACAATACCTTGCTTGTGTGGTGTTCTCAGTCTCGTTATGTATCCTGTCTTTTAGGTTATGCATGTCTGTCCCATTAAGGTGCAAATATACTTCTGGATGTAGAATATACTTAGGATTTTGTGCAGCTGTGCTTGATTTAAATTTTTCTCATCCCTGCTCTTCTGTTTTATCTACAGTGACGTGAATTCAATGTATCTCTCTTCCACGGAGCCACCAGCTGCTGCTGAGTGGGCCTGTCTCCTGCGTCCCCTGCGAGGAAGAGAGCCTGAAGGAATCTGGAACCTGCTTTCCATTGTGCGGGAGATGTTCAAGAGGCGGGATAGCAATGCAGCTCCTTTGCTGGAGATTCTGACTGACCAGTGTCTCAACTATGAGCAGGTATTTGAATCTCTTTGCTGTGGGGGGGAAAATTCTGGTGAACCAGGTTGAGCCAGTGACTGGTGCCATGTGCCTGTACAATCCATGGCTGAATAAAGTTTTTTTAACAGTCTTTATGCATTATGGGCATGTGCTTTTCCACACTAAAATAATGGTACAGTTTGCTCTTGTGATGATTTAGTGATGTCCCAGTAACACTATATCCCAAAAATACTTCAGTCCTTTTAACATGAATATATGGAGTCTGAAACCTTGTTCAGCACATTTGATTTGATTTCTGCCCAGTCAAGGGGATTTATTTTTATGTTTTTTTCCGAAACAAAGTACATCACATATGAGCTGTCATTTTGATAAAAACTAAAGATATATGTTGGGTGGCAGAATCTCAGATTCTTTTGTTATTTTTGTAGAAGATATCTTTTGATGGGTTTAAGTAATAATTTTTTTTAAGTTTTTGTTTTTGTTTTTTAAAATAATATTAGGGAAAAGGTTTCCTTTGATAGTTCAGGACACTGATCTCATTCTGTAATATAAATTGCAGTGTAGGTTTCCTTATTGCTGTATCACATACCTCAACTTTGAGCAGGGGAAAGGAAATGCTTTTATTTATCACATTTGTTCACTTTTTCCCTCCAAGTGTGAAGGCCTCTAGTAAGAGAACCTCCTGTGAGTGTTTTGTTCTGTGGGCATGTGCCTTCTAACCAGAGAAATTTTGAGAGGCCATTAGTTCTCACAAACCAATACTGCTTTAATGCTCGTAGTTATTTTGGAGTCAAATGAAAACATGGTACTAGCTACAGATCCTGTTTCCTTGTGGTTATGAGGTTAGGTGAGAGCAGGGGATGAGATGTTTGCCACAACACAGCTCCACTGAACGTTTTCTTCTGCAGATAACCGGGTGGTGGTACAGTGTGCGAACATCTGCATCACACAGCAGTGCTAGTGGGCACACAGGACGCAGCAATGGCCAGTCAGAAGTAGCTGCTCATGCCTGTGCAAGTATGTGTGATGAGATGGTGGTTCTTTGGAGGCTGGCTGTCCTTGACCCGACTATTAGTCCACAGAGGTGAGCACCAGAATCAGATCCAGTCTCTCATTTATTTCTGTGATATTCAAGCACACTCAAGAGTTTCTTCCTCTAGATGTCTTGTGTTTGTATCATTACCTCATTACCTGTTCAAACAATAGTCCGTCTAGACTATTTGCTGTGTAAAGTTCAAGAGCACTATAATTACTTAAAACTTTAATTGCTATTGCTATTACTTTTAGCAACATCATGTAGTGTGAATAATTTGTTTTCTGAGAATTCTTTTACATATGTGTGTAATTCTGCATTTCAGTGTCCCAGTGGAGAACATTTCGTTGAATGATAACACTGGCTACCAATACATTTTAATGCTTTCTAAATATAACTATTCAGCAGTTCAATGGATTTCTGTTTAGCCCAATCATTCACTGTTGTCTATTTCAAGATGAACCATTTCTTGCTTTCTGTGCTTTTAGGGAGTTTATTCTCTGCAGTGTATTGGTAAACAGTGTCACTGGTGTATGATTTTTCAGTCAGTGTTTTCAATTGTCTGAGGAAAAATTGTGAGGCTTCTGCAGGTTTCTAAAGCATATTGTGCCTTTGTAAATCACTGTCATCTTTATTTAGCACTAGTTGAATAGCAGTGGAGGTAGTGAATGCTCATGTTGAGATACTGTGGTTGACATTGTAATAATTTGTTTTGTACATCTAGTGTACAAAGTGTGTTGTGTAAAATGTACTGAATTAGTTTAATGTGCTGTAAGTGCTCAGAAAAAGTTTTTCAGAACAAATGAAAACAGGATGGTATTTTCAATACAGTTACACATTAACAGGATTTGCTTTCTGTGAATTGTTGTGTAACATTAATAAAATGCCCTATATATGTAAGGTACATCAGGGACACTAAAATGGATGCAGTTCCTGTCTTGTACAGTTTACAATATGAAGTAACTAAACATAGGAGATGAAGACAAATCAAAAACTGTAGGAAACTGGGAGTGAGGCTTAAAATAAATGCAAACATCAATCACATCACATAGAAAAACCATAAAACGTTTTGGCTTTTAATAAAGTATGAAGTTGTGCTATGTGTATTCACATTTGAGTTATTTGGCGCAGTTCAAATTTGCTCAGGTCTCCTACTTGAGCTCATGCATAATTTAAATGCTCCTGCTTGATTACTTATTCTCTTGGCATTTGAATAGTCACCAAGAAGAACCCTCTTCTACCCCTTGCTATTCTTTCCAGTGAATCATAAGATGACTTGCTACCTCATTCCTAATTCATTGCAGGCTCTCATCCTTATGTTACCTTTCCTGAGTAGTTCCCCCTTCTTTTTCCTTCTGAAAATCCTCTCCTTGATTAAGCTCTACCAGTCTGCTCCCTTGTTAATTAATTTCTTTAATGGACAAATAGAAGCAGTCCATTTTGTTTAGACCCTTTTGTCCTAATACCTTTTGCACCTAAAGTGAGTCACCTTGTTTTGATTTTATTTTTTTGTTCTTTTGCTTTTGATAGGAAATCTGAGAGGATTGAAGTGTTGGGCTTGTATCTCAGATCTCTGAAATCTGTGGCAGAAACAAGATGGCAGTTGATTGAGACACTTGGTGCAATTTCTGGAAATGTCTTTTCCTCTTCTTGAATTAGATCACCCGAGTGTGTAATCCATTTAGACTATCTTGCTCATATGCTTAGGCCCTACATTAGATTTGGAGCTGGGAAATGCAGAAATACTTTGTTCTTCTCATGGTAATATGGGGCATGGGATTAACTGCTATGTAATTTAAGTCTATATAACCCTACCAGCTTGCTTCTTCCTGAGAGTTATTTGAACATCAGTTATTTTTGTCTTGCTTGTTGTGTGCCTATGGCTTGCAACAGTTTATTCTCCCAAGGACAGCCTGCCGTATCCTAAATTAAATTGTTGGGCTCTAGATAAGTGTATCAGGGTAAAGAAGTAAGTGCCTGGGAGGTAGATTAGGTGGTCCTGTCTGGCATTATCCTTCCCTGGGTAGGCTGCTTAGATTGTACTTGTGAACGTCTTGACTGGCGTTGTTCACAGGGCCGTTTCCAGCTGCTGCAAACTGTTTTATGAATGATTCCAAGAGCAGTTCCCCATGGCACTCTCTGGTCTCAGACTGCTGAGGCTCACGCTGCTAATACCTTATCTGGGGTAGATAAGCAAACAGGACAGGCAGTATTTCATTTTAAACCTCCCAGTTTGTTTCATGCTTTCATGTTCGTACTGTTCACATTTTGTTTCTATATCATGGACCTGTCTAGGACTTGGTTGTTAATATACCTGTTTCCATTTTTCAGCCTGTCGTCTTAGTAGTGCTGTCTATACTTACTTTGGCAGAAGATTCTTCTGACCAAAAGTAGGAGGTGTTCTGTGGGTTAAGAGGTAGTTTGTCACAGGTGCATTTTGTGTCTGCTTTCTAACCTGTCCTCTTACTTCTTCTCTTAGGCGCAGGGACCTTTGCTCACAGCTCAGGCAGTGGCAGCTGAAAGTCATAGATAATGTTAAGAGGGGTCAGCACAAGAAGTCACTGGAGAAGCTCTTCCAGGGTTTCAAGCCAGCTGTGGAAGCCTGTTACTTCAACTGGGAGGAAGCTTATCCCATTCCAGGGATCACATATAGCAGCACTGACAAGAAGAACTCATTCTGTTGGGTAAAGGCCATCCAGCAGAGGAGCTGCCGGTTGCAGTGTGCAGAAACTGCCTGTGAGGCTGGTAGAACCCATGGACAGGAGCCTGGGGGACCATGTCTGCAACCTGGGGACAGGCTGCGTCCCTCTCCCCAGGAGCCAGCAGTTCGTCCGAAGGAACTTACTGGAAAGCGGAAAGTTGTCTCTGAAACGCCGCAGAGGGTTCTGAGACGACTTTCAGCAGAAGGTGATAAAGCTGTGTATAAGACTGCAGTGGGCAAAGCGAAGTTGCCAGTGAGCAAAGGCTTGACCAGTAAACATAGTGGGAAACGCCGCATGAGCAGTGAAGACAGCTCTCTGGAGCCGGACTTGGCAGAGATGAGCCTGGATGACAGCAGCTTGGCTCTGGGGGCAGAAGCCAGCAACACGTTTAGTTTTACAGAAAGCCCACTGAGCAGGAGCTACAGGGACACCTTTGAGGAGGATGGTGGGGTGTACTTCTCTGAGGGACCTGAGCCCAGTGTCAGGAGCAGTTCCATGGCCAAGAAATCGCCCAAGGATCCTGTTGGAGAAATGGGTAGTGGTGATGACGACCTGCCTTCCGCAGATGAGAACAGTGGTGGTGTGAGCCTGAAGCCGGAAGAAGTGGGAGAGAATGGTGCAGCAGGGGGAGGGGATGATGGAGAAGAGGAAGATGATTACCAGGTATACTATCTGAATCCACAAGAGGTAGCCAAGGAAGATGATGAGAAAGCTGAAGGGGGAAATGAAGAGGAGCAGGATATATTTGCTGGTATAAAGCCTCTGGAGCAGGAGAACCGGATGGAGGTGAGTTGAATCTAGTTCAGAACACTGTTTTGCAGTTTTATGTATTGTATACATCATGGTCTTGCAATCCTCCGAGCTGTCATACTTCATATAGTATGTTGTTAAATCAAGTGCTTAACTATAATGTTGTCATAACCCATTGTATCATATGGTATCTACGGTCTTAATGCAGTGGTATCACACATGTCTGTTTCCCACAAACTTGACTCCCTATTTCTGTGCTAACTTCAAGTGTGTCCCCGTTTTATCTGGTCCCATCTCACTCCAAGATTTACAAATGCAGGCAAAACAGTGTGTGCTTTTTTCCTAGTCTCACTCTTGGAAACGGCAAAATTGAGCTGAGATGAAAAATAAGTAAGACTGAGACATGCCCAGCAGGGAAAATTTAAATCCAACCATGCAAGCAGAAAACCTCTGGAAAGCCAGAGGCAATCTAAATAGACTGTGTCAGATTTGTCTAATAACCTCAAAATAAGTTTAGAGCTTGCACCTGTATGAGCAAGCAGCTGAAATGGAGATGCATGGAATTAGTTACAGTCAGTCAGTTTGGGGTTTTTTTTTTTTTTGAGTTATTCTCTGATCTCTTATAGCACTTGGAGGGAGGATGGGACTTATTCGTGGAAGAAAAGGCTTTTTAGTGGAACGCTTAGAGGAATGATGGTGAAGGTCCAGGCAAGGAGGACTCTGAGAACACCTGCTGCAGAAGTTAATTGTGAATTGTGTTTGCAGAGTCTTTGAGCAGGCTAGCTCCAGCCTGGGGGAGTGTGGTTTGAATATGACCATCTGTTCTTTCTTGCAGATCCTGTTTGCCTGTGCAGAGGCCCTGTATGCACATGGATACAGTAATGAAGCTTGCCGCTTAACCGTAGAGCTCGCCAGGGACCTACTGGCCAACCCTCCAGATCTCAAAGTGGAGCAGCCACCAACTAAGGTAGAGAGAGCGCTTGTCTAGTTTTGGGGGTAGAGGGTAAGTTAGAAGGAATATGTGGGATGGATACAACAGCATTCTCGGGCATTTCTCATTGGCTGTCATTCAGGGCTCACTGATGCTTCCTCTGGGTTGAACTTCTCTGGATGCCATTAATGTGCCTGTTCACTGTGTGTGTGCGGGTGAATAAAAGGGAGAAAGAAAATAAGAGGCCATTCAGGAGGACTTGGAGTGTTCAGAAACTCAAGTTTAGTTAAAAGCTTCTTCACTTTTCCTTATGCTTCAGAGAGAAGCTTGGTTTGTCTGTTAAAAGCTGCAGCTCCTTTAGGAATCTATTTTAAATCTCATTGAACAAAACACCCTATTTAACACCAGCTTCGAAGGATGTTTTGTTTAAGAGATGCCTGCTACTGTGTGCTACAAGATTATACAGCAGCCCTAAGAAGTCTTGATTTTTGTGCAGCTCTGTGCAGGTGACCTGCCTGTTTCTTGTGGTTCTTTCCAAAACCTCAGTCTCCTATTTCATAATGTGCATCACTGGAAATGTTAGAAGTTTTGTTGTTTCAGGATAGAGGGTTGGAGAGGAAAGAAATAAGCAGAAACTTCTGGAAAATCACTTGTAGTGGCACTAAGCAGTGTTTGTTGTATGGAAGGGCTCTCTTGGAAGGGACAGGCATGCAACATCTGCCTGCACAGCATCAGTCCAATAGTGGACATATGTCTTATCAACAGGCCAGCTCTTCCACTGTGTTGTGCTGGGGTGAGATAGGGGAAGGAATCATGTTCATCAGTAACCACTGGGATTTGCGATTCCTCAGCAAAGGGAATAAAATCTAAATCTGTTTTCTTCTCTCTCTTGTCTGCTGATTGCTCTAAAAGGTAGGAGGACAAGCATAGAATCATTTAGGATGTTTAGGAAAGTGTCCTGTGATAAATTCCTCCTCAAACAGGGCAAAAAGAACAAGGTATCAACCAGCAAGCAGACTTGGATGGCAACCAACACCTTGTCTAAAGCTGCTTTCCTGCTGACTGTGTTGAGTGAGCGGCTAGAGTACCACAACCTGGCCTTCCGAATAGGAATGTTTGCTCTGGAGCTGCAGAGACCACCTGCCTCTACAAAGGCTCTGGAGGTATGAAACATCTCAAAAAGGCAGTATCCATAAGCAACATTGTGCTGCTTGAATGCTTTTGCTCATGTGGTTCCCATTTCAACTCCTGAAGTTTGGTTATGCTTTTATATGTTTCCTTACAATTGGTTGCAGTGGGACTAAATGGATTGTGTGCACATCCCATTAGCACACATTGAGCTGCCAGAAAAATGGTTAGAAGTATTACTTCATCTGGTATTACCTTCATTGATAGGAAGATCAGACCTCGTGTACCAACAGGCCTTTGATTTCACATGAAGTTCCAGGCTCGAAAATACTTAAATGAGTACAAAATCTCTTATAAATATATTATTTTGATTAGAACAGCTTACTACTTATCTTAAATATGCTTCCGGTTTGCTTGGCTAATCAGGGGAAAGTAAAGCCATTTGTAAATGGAATTGTCCACATTCGCATCAATGAAATGGTTTGAAACTTATTCCTTAGGGTGAATTGGTGCAATTGTTACATGTTTAAAAATTGTTGCTCTTGCTGATTTCTCATTCGCGGGTAAGTGGACATGTGCACTGTGCAGGCATATTATTTTGGATGCTGCTTGATTACTGTTAGGCTTCCTGTTTAGAAAAAAGAAGTGTCCAGTTAAGACCTTGTCCGTGTGATTTGCAGCCACCTTGCTTTTCACTGCAGGGTTATGCAGTCCCCGGAGGTGTGTGTTGTTGCTAGGTATCCACCAGCTACACTTATAACAGTGATTATCTGTACTTCTTACAGTCTGATTAGAAGATTGTGAGATTGGCAGTCACTTGCTACCTTAAAGAAAACAATCACTTTCATGTTAAGAGTGGAAAGAATGCAGGAAT